TGGAAAGACTGAAAATTGTCAAGATACTAATTTGAAGTACGTAGAATTATTCACAACTAGAAAGGACAACCACTGGGTTGCCTTATAATAATAGCCATCTGTAAAATCTATCAAAACAATTACAAAATTGCCTACATGAAAGACGCAGATTGTAATTCATATGGATAAAAAAGTAAAAAAATATCTAGTCTAGCTACTGGTGTATGTTATACATACGTTATAGATGTTTCAATTTTCTGAAAATTTTTTTTTTTTTTCCTGAAAAATATAAAAAACGACGTTTATATTGCAATGTATTAAATTCACAATAATTGCAGGAAATTTATTAGACTTTTACTATATCAACTCTCAAAACCAATAATAATCTTAGTTCAATTTCTGCAACGAAACGATAACTAACTATCTCCATAAAATATAGACATATTGCAATTCATATAGAAAAAATAAATAAAAACTGAAGAAAATATCCATCATCATCTGTTACACTATAGATGTATAGAATGCGGATCAGGTCCGATCATCCTGGATGAGTTTGTGATGATACAAACACGCGAAAAGCGCTTTTGAAGTACGACAATAATGATGAGATGGATATATACATCATGGCCATGTTATATATATATATATATATATATATATATATATATATATATATATATATATAGCTAAAGGTATCAATATTTTATGAGATCGCACATAAAATAATTGAGTTACGAAAAAAAATGATACTCTTTTCGTGTTGAAACGATACAGTGCCACTCTACTGGCTTCTTTTTTAACCAGATCATTCTGTGACAAAAAATGTATACTTTATGGTGAAGTATTTTTTACACATATAGCTAGGAAGAATTTCGAGGAAATTTATATTCAATGGGAACACATATAGGGAGATTATGATTTTAGGTCCGGTGTTTAGAATTTGAATTTTTTTTATTTAATTTACTATCAACATAATCGAATCGATGATAAATGACGACTTCTATCTATCGGTTGAGATATCTCTAATAATATCGCTATGTATTTAAAATGAAATTCTTTCATTCATTTCATAAATTACTCATATTAAATCGATTTATCTGCAGGGTTATAAGATAAACTTAGATAGTTAGTTAAACAATAAATAAATTTTTATAGCTGTCTGAGTAGCTAATTTAGCTTTTTTTATTTCAATATCAGTGAAGATTTTTATGTCAACCTTTTCCATAATGGTGACTTTTTATGTCAACATTTTATTCAATTTTTTTGGAACTAAAATCTTATTATTCAAAATATTTGTGATTAGAAGATACTTGCAAAACATGCCAGTTTCAAACAAGGAATAAAAAAATGTCTGTAATAAAATTAATTGTTTGGATTAATTAGAAATATAGTAATAAATATAAATTAATTTTTGTTATCGTGACAGTTAATTTTCGGGTACAAATGTATATTTCAAAAAAAGTGTTGTATATATATACACTAGGGTGGTCCTTAATATGGACATTTTCAAATTTCCTTGCTCCCAAGAGCTCAAATGGTTCCAAAATAATAAAAAACAATTCTCTCAAAGTTTTAGCTCTTAATATTGTTTAGATAGTGCGCAATTCAATCAAAGTTTTGTATGGAAATAGCATAAAAAAATTTTCAAAAATTTTAAAAATGTTTTTAGATATAATTAAGCGAACAAATGAATGAGTTTTATTCAAAATTTATCGCTAAGTTATATCTATTTTTTTTTTAATTTTCAAAATTTTGTCAAGCTATTTCCATACGAAGTTTGATTGAATTGCGCACTATCTAAACGTTAATATTAAGAGCTAAAACTTTCAAAGAAATGTTTTTTATGAATTTGGAACCATTTGAGCCCCTGGGAGCAAGGAAATTCGAAAATGTCCATATTAAGGACCACCCTAATATACACATTATATACAATATAATAATTTATAAAATGGTAGATAGTAGATAATGATAATTCATTCAGATTTAAAAAAGAAAAACTGAATTTTTTTTAAACTATTTTTAAAAAGACTTCCAACGTTTCGGATCCCTTCTTGAATATTATTCAGAAGCATATAAAAACCACATAGAATGAACAAAATACTTAATTAGCAGAAATATTTGAGAAAAAAATCACTTACATATTTAATTTAGAAAAATATAAATTAAAAATAAAATATAACTGCTACCTATTTAGAAGTGATGTGCAAAAATAATCATTTCTTCTTCTTGTTGAAAACCAAAGAATTTTATTGCACACATCACATCAAAATGGTTGTTATTATAATTAATTTTTAACTAAATTTTTTAAGTTAAATATGTAATTATTTTTCATAAATATGATTGTTAATTTAGACTTTTCTTCATTTTATGTACTCTTTATATTTAAAAAAAAAAATTATGTGATTTATCCACCGAGAATAAATGAATCTTTACAATAAATAAATAAATAAATGAGTCAATTGTAAATTTCTAATGAAAATGATTAAAATAGTAATTTGATTTATCTTTTTAATATGTAGAAGCAATGCTGTAAAAAAGCTTTTTGCTTATATTATATATAGCAATTTTACGTTTTAACAAACTCAATGTCTAAACATCAAAATATTCCTTTTGTCATATTTATACCTACAACAAAAAGTCTTCGCAATGTAGACACACTAGATTATTATTTCATGCCACCGAAACCAAAAAAACAGGGTAAAAATAAATATAAATAAAAACTTTTGATCGTATAGGAACGAGTTTCGTAAGAGCAGACAAATTCAAATATTTGTGATACATTAGCTAGGTATCACAAATATTGAAATAAAGTAAAAAAAATAATATAGAGAACAATGCTTCGAACCAATTCTTGAAACATGTCAGACCAAAATAAATATTCCGATATGCCTCTAAGTTCGAACAAAGCACTCCAGACAACAAAATACATAAACACATATAAGAAAACTAATTTTTAAAACATATATATGCTATGATATACCGACGAATTACATTTATACTCCTCTAATAAAGGATATATTTCATAAAAATGAAGCTTGGCTTACAAGTGTGGTGACGTACATTAAATCATATTGAATATTCAACAGCTTTAGATATTCAAATTTTTCACGAAATGTACATCCTGAAATGGACACATCGCATAATTTTTTGCGAATATAAAATAATAATAAAATCTGCGCTTCGTGATGATATATGAGTTCGTTTTAAAAGGCAGAACGAGCTTTTGGGATTGTAGGAAACACATATGATAACAAACGGAGAAAAATCCTCTCCACGTGTTACGATTGCTGCTGGAATAATTATAACATAATTCACCTAACACCTTTTGGTATTATTTTATATAATTGTTAAAGTATTTAATTAATATCTCAGACGGATATTAGTTATAATTAAAACGCTTGCAGTTTAAATGCAATCCTGAGAATTTCATAGAACTTTGTAGTTTTGGCAATTTACCAAATTGCTAATTTAACTTAAAAACATTCCAGTAAAGAAGTCATCGACAGAGAAACTCGAAACAACTGATGTATAATATGAACGTTCTTGCGGCTTAGTAAGTATATAAAAACAATTAGTGTACCCATTTTTTTATAACTTTAAGAAATGAATTTAAGAAAGAAGAGATTGAAAATTTACTCATAAGTGACATGGATTTCTATTCGATTTTGTAATTATTCACGTTGTTCGTAAAATTTTATATAACCGTATCAACTTT